GGCCTACACGATTGTTCGGTATACTATAGGCAGTGTTGTACTGTAATCTAAATGTTGAAACACTTGGCCACCGTGCTTTCATTTATCAAGAGTCATTCACAAGATGGAGCGCACTTTTACGGAGAGGCGCTGATATTACCAGAATTTTGGATTTTTTTTTCAAGTGGACAACATTTCAACAGTGGCAAAAGTTTGAAACTTGTAAAACCTTGTAAATCTTGATTGAGGCACGTTGGGAAACTGGTAACCACATTCAGTGAAGACCCCGTATGCATATAAATGATAGCTTCTTTCGTTAGTCATTCTTGAGAGTGCAAGCATGTAGACACTCTTATTGCATCTGTTCACAACTCCCGACGCTGGACATACCGCTTAACGTCGCTACGAAATGTTATGGCTTAATACTGCATGGTTCATGGTTAGATCATGTCTCACTCTTGCGGCGGCCCAAGTTCATTGGTGTAAGTTCTGAAGCGGTTCGGTACTAATATTCCAAACACGCATGCCCAAAATGAAGCCCGTGATTATTTTGTTCCCGAATGACCTTGCGTTTTAAATGCTGAACTAACTCACTATCTGGCTGCAGCCGGAAATAATGTATGCCTATGCTTCTCGCTAGGAAGCAAACCATTGCAAAGGGCTACAGAGTTCAAACTCCATAAAACTAAATGTTAGGGTTTGTCACAAACAATGACTTGTTTGGGATATTTCAGGAGTCCATGGGAAACAAAATCATGGGAATTATGTTTGATAATTGAATTCTTTATGATTGTATAAATTACGGGTTATGTTAGGTTTATCGGTTATGACTGCACAGTTGGAGGTTGTATGAGTGTATAGGTTATTCCATTTGGATTGTGGCAGCTTGTGGAATGGACGAATTGATGCTTGGTTATGAATCGAATGTAACTTTAAACGGACTAGGAAACTATGGTTTTGAGTTGCCGCTTTAAACCGTGTGTGTTCGGGAGTAAAGTCCATTTTGTTAGAGCTTTTACGCCTAGTGAAGTTTTGGGCATTCGCAGGAGCATGGGTGTCACGCCAGTTTCCCCATAATTTGGGCAAACTTCACGCATGTATATGAATGTGCTTGGTTGGATGTTCTTGGTCACTGAGACCCTCCAAATGGGTCCAGTGCATTCCAATCAAGTATATTTATGAGTGTATAAAATCAAGTTTTGGGTAGTGACTTGTCACTTAGTGGCAAGCGAATCTGGATCGAAGTCTCCAAGGGCACTGAGGCCCTTTGAATTCATTCTCCAGTCTGGAGAAAGCCGAGGGAACTTGAGTTTTGTGTTGCCGGCCGAGGCCGATCATTGTGGACACCCGTTTAACTATTGGTTTGCCGAGTTAGATTCGCCAATTCACGAACCCTAAAGCCTGATTTATTCTGTAAGTGTTATTTATTTATTGATAAATCATCGTTGAAAACTTGTGAGAATTCAATTGCTTGTAACCTTAAAATGTTCATGGTTTATTCTTCGGCTTGTACGGACAAAATTAGCAATTTAATTTTATTAATATCTCGCCACGGATTTAGCACTTATATTGCGAGGACCGTGCTGGTCTGTTTATTGATGTTTAACAGAGTAATGAAGAATCAATCTTGTTTCCAGAAAACTAAATGAATGGGCACGTATTTATTGTAAGAAACATATTAAATTCAGGGTTTTTTTGGTTGGGAATGGGACACGCCTTTCCACCATCAGCTGGGAGTGTTACACCAACGCAATAGTTCCTGTGGATGGATCTGACGTCACACCCCGGAGACCAACGCCCTCACCCCTGTGCACGATGCCGCTGTTCCTCTTTTAATTGTCCCGGTACCGTATTGTACATCTGATCTGACTACACATCTGATCTGACTGTACATCTGATCTGACTACACATCTGATCTGA